GAGAGAGAGATAAAGAGTGTGAGAAAGATAGAGAGAGAGAGAGAGAGAGAGAGAGAGAGAGAGAGAGAGAGAGAGAGAGCGCGCGAGAGAGAGACGAGGAGGCCCATAACTATCCCGTACAAACAAGCTCGTTTTTGGTTCTAGACATTTATCAAAGATAAACACATAGATAAACACATCTCACGGGTGGGAAAACGAGATACGAACCCGGAACCCATCACCGCCTAACCCATAGCCTGCCACCACCCGTCGCTGTGAGCACCACCCTCGTGACGCGGGCACCGACGCTTGGGTCCAAAGCTCAACGTTGACCGCGCCGTCACCCTCGCACGCCGTACGACGTTCACTGATTGACGGCTAGAGTGACTCGCCAGCATCCTGTCACGTCTGTCGCACGATGGCAGCCGACAACTTCAGCGTAGAGGATCCGGACGACGGTCACACGGAGAGCAAATGCGACATGAAGGTGTTCCTCATCGGGTTCTCGATATTTGCCGTCATCGCTCTCGCTCTGGGGCTGGGTCTCGGGCTGGGGCTCAATAAAGATGACCCACCAGTGACGACGACCACGTCGGCTCCCACCACCCCGCCACCACCGTCGACAGAGCCACCTATACCCGAGGCCGACCGACTCGACTGTCTTTCCGAGGGCGACGTCACGGAGAGCGAGTGCGTGTCGCGAGGGTGCGTGTGGGGCGGCGGCAGCGGCCCGACTCCCGCCTGCTACCTGCCGGACGACACAGGGTATGCGGTGAAGGCGAGTGCGGAGACGGGGAACGGGTTTAGCGTTACCCTGCATGCGCCGCGCCTCGCGCACGGTGTCTACTCGTCGCCCGTCGAGGAGGTGACGTTTCAGTTGGAGGAGGTCGACGACAACATTGTCAGGTTCAAGGTAAGCGACGACTCGTCGGCTGCGTGGCGACGACGTCGATGTTCGAATCCCGTCGGCAGGTGTGGTGAACAGCGGATGTCGGAAGGAGCAAGGTCCCGGGTTCAAGTCTCGCCGTAGAGCGGCCCCATGTGTGTGTGTCAGTGTTTGGCAGCAACGCTGTGTGTGTGTCAGTGTTTGGCAGCAACGCTGTGTGTGTGTCAGTGTTTGGCAGCAACGCTGTGTGTGTGTCGGTGTTTGGCAGCAGCACTGTGTTGTTGGTGTCGCTGTGCGACGATGATGTGCTGTAACAGCTGATTGCAGCTAGTGATGTTGCTGGGGTGTGGCGAAGGCAGTTGCATGCCTCTCTATCTTTTACTCTCTCCTTTCACTTGTGTGTGGGTGGTATGTGTGTGTGCACGTGTGTGTGATGGGGATGGGCTGATAAAAAAGTCAGAATTTTTATTGCACGTATTTCAGCAGATAGAACGACGTCTCTTTACATAAAGCAAACGCTTACGATACTTGGTGGAAACGATGTGCTACTGACTGCCTGTATACAGTACTACTATTCCACAAACAAGTTCCATCAAGTTTAATTATGAATTTACTTGCTATTGCATATTTCGGCAAATATAAAACAAATATAAATGCAAATAAAAAACATCCAGCAAATAGATGTTGTGCTATATTATTTTGTAAAGGTATAGTGTTCAAAATAACTCGTTCGTTAGTTTTCTCCTTTCTATATTCTAATACCGACCCCTCCCCCAAACTCCTCGATTCCTATCACAGCCCCCTGTTTTTCCTCTCGTTTGGTGATTTCAACATCTTGATTCTCGGAAAAAACATCTCACTTCCTGAACTGTGCGCGCCATTTCCGATGACACCGTTCTGACGATACGGTTCCAAAATATCTTATCATTGTGTGACCCGGCACGTAAACCCGGCGCGTATCCTATCATTGATCGTCCCAGTTAACTTCCCCCTGAGTGATCCTCGCTCATGGTTCGCACAGTCCTTGAAAAGTCCTTGAAAAGTACTTGAATTTAGTAAATGTTGATTTTGTGCTTGAAAAGTCCTTGAATTTCATGAAAATGTCCTTGAATTTTTAGAAAGAATAACTGTAATAAAAAGAAATTTTGTACCATCAATAATGTGCAAACCTCAATAAAAAT